GAACCTGACAGCAAGACTATTAGATGAAGAGCAGAACCTGACAGCAATAGAAGAGGAGCAAGAGGCACTTTGCAACCATAACTTTGAATATAAAGAAGAACACACCGAATGCAGAAAAAAGAAGAAGGTTTCCATTCAAGTGCTTCAACTGTCAAAAACGTAGACATATGTCCAAAGACAGCAAGGAGCCAAGACAATACAGTGGAAAGAAAGCTGATGAGTGTAATAAGAAGAACGAGACAGCTCTCAGTGTTGAGGAAGAAGCAGTGAACCTAATATCATGTGAGGATCATTGGATTCTAGACAGTGGTGCCTCAGCACACATCATGAGCTACAGGAGGGACTATTTTTATGAAATCGGAGAGCTGAACAGTCGTTCCTATGTTAACCTAGGAAACAGTAGAAGTCTAGAAGTGAAAGAAAAAGGGACAGTAAGGATTCAGGAACTTATAGATGGACAGTGGTTTGATTCTTACATAAATGATGTACTTCTCATCCCAGAGCTAGAAAAAAATCTCATTTCTGAAGGAGTCTTGACCAACAATAAGATAAAAATAATAAAAGAGGGTAGTTCTGCAAGAATCTACCAAGAGGAAAATCTTGTTGCTGGTGCTATACTGCAGGAATCCAATAATCTGTATAGAATGCTCATTTGCACAATCTGCAACAAAAGTGAAGTTAGTGTAGCAGAAGATAGCAGTGACTCTTTGAAAAGCTGGCATGAGAGACTTGGGCACATCAACAAACAGTATTTACAGGAGATGGTCAAAAGAAATCTAGTGGAAGGTGTGAAGTTGAGTGACATTGACAACTTCCAGTGCGGATCATGCATACTTGGGAAACAGCACAGAAAAAGTTTCACAAATTCAACTAAAGCTCCTAAAACTGCACCAGGACAACTAGTATATAGTGACCTATGTGGACCCATTGCTACACCATCAGTTTCAGGTGCTTGCTACATGTTGCTTTTCAAAGACAGCTACACAGGTTACAGAATAGCCTATTTTATCAAACATTAGAGTGATACATATGAGCACTTTGTTGAGTTCAATAATAAAATCAAAACAAAGTTTGGCCACTCAGTGAATGCTTCACATGTTGATAATGGTCGTGAATACATGAATAAAGAACTTGAAGTTCACATGAGAAAGGAAGGTATCGAACTATAAAATACTGCACCCTACACCCCAGAGCAGAATGGAAGATGTGGAAAAGAGAATCGTACCATCATAGAGAGTGTGAGGTCAATGCTAATCATTGCAAATGCACCTCACTACCTCTGGGCAGAAGCAGCAAGTGCTGCAATTTATATTCTCAACAGAACACCTTCTGAGCAGAGTCAAAGCACACCGTTTGAGCAGTGGACTGGTGAGAAACCATATTTAGGACATGCTTAAATATTTGGTTGTACCGCATATGTACATACACCTGACCAAAATAGAACAAAACTTGAGCCAAAAAGTCATAAAATGATATTTGTTGGGTATGACAAAAATTCAACAAATTATCGTTCGATCTAACAAATTAAAAGATAATGGTATTTCGCAACGTTTTATTTGATGAGAAAAACCAGGACTTTGTTCAAAAACAAAAAGAGATGCCAGTCTTAATAGAGTTTGAAGGGGATAATAGAGACCCATTCCCACAAGTTGAGTCACAATATAATGACCAAGAAGAAGTCGAAGCAAAAGAAGAAGAGGTAGAACTTGAGCTTCAAAACTTGAGACCACGAAGAGCTGTCAGAATTCCACAAATATTCGGAGATTTTGAGCTGAATTCAGTAGATATAGACGTCCCGAACACATATAAAGAAGTAGTGAGTTCTAAGGATGCTGCAATGTGGAAAGTAGCTATACAAGAAGAATTGAATGCTCTTGAACAAAACAATACATGGACTTTACAATATTTGCCAAAAGACAGAAAGAAAGTGGGTTTTCAAAGTGAAATATGATGATCAAGGTGGAATTGAAAGGTATGAAGCAAGGCTATGCTTCACCCACAACAAGGTTCGACTCAATCAGAGTTATTCTTTCTGTTGCTGCACACTAAGGCTGTGAAATTGAACAATTTGACATCAAGACAGCCTTCTCATACAGGGTACGCTCAGAAAAAATGTATATGCAGTTACCTGAAGGTTTCCCAGGAATTAACAGAGTATGCAAACTTGTGAAATCCCTGTATGGGCTCAAACAAGCGCTTCGGTGCTGAAACCAAAAATTTGATAGCATACTGAGACAGTTTGGTTTCGAACAATGTAATGCTGATTAAATGCATCTATCGAGGGCTAGTGCAGAAACACACACTTTTGCTTATTTTTTATGTTGATGATGGTTTATTGATGTCAAGCTGTGAGACTGCATTAGACACTGTTCTCACCAAGTAACGAAAATGCTTTGAGGTTAAGGTGAGCAATGTCAATAATTTCATTGGACTAGAAATTATAGGGGATAAAGACAAAAATCCTATCTTCATCCATCAAAACAGTCACATCAACAAAATTATAAACAAGTTTGGAATGAGTGATGCCAACTCATTGGAAATACCAGCTGATCCACACACTGATCTGATGAGAAATGATACAGACACAGAATTTGAAGGTCCATACCGAAAATGTGTTGGGTCACTGATGTTCACAGCCATATAGTGTCCAGACCGGACATTTCATATTCAGTGCAGTTGCACAATGACACACAGTTGAAAGAATCATTAGATTCCTAAAATGCACCCCAGTGTAAGTGGTTTCTGTGATGCTGACTATGCAGCTGACAAACAAACAAGAAGGTCCACAACGGGGTGTTTAAGGCTTCAGGTGTTCCAATAACTTGGTTCAGCAAATGACAATCAGGTATTACCCTATCGACTACAGAAGCAGAGTATGTAGCTGCATGTCAAGCCACCAAATAAGCTATATGGCTACGTCAACTTCTAAATGATATTGGTGTATCAGTAAATGGTGCAACACCTTTGCATATTGATAACCAAAGTGCCATGAAATTGATACACAATCCTGAGTTCCATAATCGCACGAAACATGTGGACATACAATATCATTCCATTTGAGAGAAGTTCAGAAATGAAGAGATTCTACCGAAATACGTAAGTACAATGAATCAAGAAGCTGACATCCTCACTAAGGCTCTGTGTGAAGACACCTTCCAGAGACTTGGAACATTGTTGGGACTTCAGATTCATAATGAAGATTGAATAAGACACTTGTACTGTAAAATTTGTTCGATGTCTATTCAAGTACCTAGATAGTTAGTAGGTTAGTCACAAATATTCAACCAACTAGAGTAGAGTGTGAGTTTAGTTTTTTTATTGTTGTACCCAAAAAGTGGGAGTGTTATAGTAATGTTTTTCGTGTTGCAAGGTTGAGATGATACATTCTGTAACCACACTCCTAACTTGATGTTCTATGTTGCATGGTGATGCATGACAGATACAACAGTGTTTATTTTTACTGCTCTTTTCTAGGAGAGTCTAGAAGCGTCATTGTTCCGATTATTATCATCTTGATCGTTTTTCATTACATCAAAGAAACTAGTAGACAAGTGTTGCTGTAGTCTCTATATTATTTTTCTTGACATTGAATCGCCAATGAAATACCTTACTCAACTTTTCCAATATCTCTGGCGGAGTCTTATCAAAATCGTCATTACTCCCAGTAATCATATTATTCATTATAAACAGGTATACCTATACGAACATGTCTTCGTGGAATAACATCCAATGGAAATTCCCATTTTTATCTAAGTATAAAAAAACACTTTGAGGATTGAAAAAAAATCAGCCGACAGTTGTGACAAAGCGATAAAGCTGCACAGCAGCCAACTAACTTTCTGTTGATTTCTTATTGATTCTCCATATTAGGTATATTTTGATTTATTATTCATTATAATTCTTTTATCTATTATCAGTTTTTCCCACAGTATGAGCAATACATGAATTCGACATTAAGTGAACCAGCAAATGTATGAAGAAACATACCACTGTGTATTCGATACCCAATTTCCTTCAAGATTGGCTAGCAACTGAGTGAAGTTACTGTCACAGGAATGGATGTGTTGACCGATTCAGAGTTGTCAGTGCGTGAAAAAATTCTTGTATGTATATCTGTTAGTGAACACAGACAGCAGTTATACTGATCCCAATTGTAAATTTGTTATTATTTTTAATACTTACTCAATAAGATATTTTTTGATCGAATTCCAAGAGCAAAGTAGAAATATTTTGCTTCTCATTCTGCCTGGCTTTGTTTTCATTCATATTCCACGAATATCCGAGGTTTTCAATGGATCGTTCAAGGCGTCAATTTATGCAGTGAATTAATATAATTTGAGCTGATAAACTTCTTGAAGTGAAAGATATCCTCTCTCATCAAAGAAATTATATAAGAGATGGATAAACAGTAATGATTGTACCTATATTTTCTCTACATTTTTCGATATAGTTCTTAGTGAAACTAGTGGATGGTAAATTCAGTATCACCATAATCAGCTTTCAGATACCAAATATGACTATGGATTCATGGATGACGTAATTGTTTTCTTGTTCAATCTGATACAGAGCTCATAGGGAAGTAGAACATTTTTTTCTTATTTCCTATCAAGAAAGTTGGATAATTCCATGATATCTGGTTGATCTTAATGTTTGTGGTTAGTTTATATGAGGAATCAACCAATTATAAGTTATAGTTAGATCATTTTTGTAAACAATGTTATCATTTTCATAATGAACGTCGCAACATCGGCATGAAATATCAAATGATCATGTGAGTGAAACTAAGGAATAACATTGACATTCATGAAAAGAGGAATGGGTTTGGAAATGAGACCCGGAAAACCTTTTTTTAATTAAATAGTGCGATCGCAAATTCTTGATTTTCTGTTTCAAGTAATAGGCAGCTTCATTTATCCATCTTTAGGAACGTTCGTGAAACATCATTCCTATGAATCGGATACAACATATAACTATACAACCAATTGAAAAAAAAAACTCACTCTTATGATTTTCTTGCCGTCTTCCGATTCCAAGGCGTCAAATTCTTCTTCAGGCAGAATCACATTAGGTTCCAACATCTTTTCTGGAAATTCAGATTCATCTATTGCTGGAATGTCGGGACCCAATTTATGAACTGATTGAGGCAATTCTTCATTCAATGAAACAATTGTCTGTCGTTGGTCTATTAATCGATTTCTCACCACATATTTGAGATCTCTTATGTCCCATACTTTTTGAATGAAACAGTGTCGTAGATTATATTGCTACAATGCAGAAAAAAATAATCAGACCCTAGTCAAGAACCGTATTGAAATCAAGTTTGATATCCAGAACCAAAAATCAGTTCTCAAGAGACGAATATTATTTTGGACAGTGCTGTGCTACATCTACATCATGATCTGTCATGATTCCAAATGTGTGTAGTTAATGAAACAGTATGTTTGAAGCCAACAAAAGTATGACCTATAAGTTTTTCTGTTTTCATTTGAAATATTTTTAGAAAACACGAGCTTAGATATGAACAGAACTTGATATTCATCCTGGTTGAGGGGCAGAATTTGACCCACCCGAGCTCACAGAAGTTGAAATTCAACAATCTTGATTTTTTTGGAAATCAGTACAGAATCATGTCATACTTTACTATAGGATAGAAGAAGAATTCTTCATTGTAAGTCACCTGATTGGGAATTAAGAATTAGGAAAAATAATCAGGAAAATGACTCCATGGTCAACAAAATCCGTTTTCTCGAGGCAAATTGTGTTCCAAAATAGAAAAGGAGCAGTTTATTACCTAAAGAAAGGATTCCTGTCGTTTCTGTCAAAAAATTGACCAAGATGCTGCTCGGTAATGGTACGATAAAATTAAACCTAAACCCAAACATTGAGGAAAAATTGCTCACTGTTCCGAATTGTTCTCCTCACTCCCCTTAGCACGTACAGAGAAATAACACCGAGCGTCGCGTTCGGGTGGGGAGGAGGTTGGAAAGTTGGAAATTCCATTTTTTCGCAATTGTTTCCCTGTCCTGAAAACTATGAGGTTCAGTGCAAAGGTCATGTCATTAATCTACATTGCATTTTGAAGTGATGAGTTGTCCATAAGTTTCTTGTGAAATAATCGGTCACGGAGATATAAAGGGAAAATTTACATAATTTTCCATTTTGGCAAAAAGCTGCAAAGAATGATTAAATCGTATTTTCGCATCTGTAATTGGAATGAATTCGTCTTCCGAGTCGTATTGTAGCCGTCTTTGAAAAGTCTAACGGTATCAAAATGGGCGCAGTTGCAATTTTTCATCAAAATGCGACGGCGTGAATAATTCAATCATTCAATATTTTGAGAATTCTTTTCATATATACATATAATCACGCAAGACGCAGCATGATGCATATAGGCCTCAATAATGTTAATTTAGCTCTACGCCTAACATTGGTCTATTCCTGATATGATTTGGATGGAGTTCTCGACAAAAGATGGAGAATCTAAGTGCGAGTTAACTATCGCTATGGTGTGGAACTGTCGCTATGGTGTGTCGTGAGTAGATGTGTTCCACATCGTGTGCTACTAAATTTGCTAAAAGTGGAGGAAAAGTGTTTTGTGCAAATCCAATTTTTGGAGTAGTTACTAGTTTGTGATAACTATCTGACTTTTGACAGATTCAAACAATTACATTTTGTTGTAAGTACAATATTTATATATATAACTATTCAACATGGCAACGAGGCAGCAGAAAAGGAGCGAGGACGGAAATCAATTGCACCAAGCAATTAAGTCTGCATTAAAAAAACTGTGTACGTCAGAGGCATTCATTACCGAGCTAACAAACTCAATTTTTTGAAAAATTAGTGGAAATATTGAAGAAGAATTGGAGTCATTAAGGCAGGAAACTTCTGAGTTAGAAAAGAAAGTTCAAGAACGAGATGAAACCATCAAATTGATCTTCAGAAATAATGAGAGATATGAGAAATGGATTCGTAGAAATAATATTATCGTCTATGGATTGGAAGAGGTGCATGAAGAGGCCATTCTAGATTAAACGATATGAAATGGAAGAGTTGTCAAACAAGGCCGAGGGCCGAGTTTGATAACCCATCGATTACGGATATAGAACAATATATTCCACCTGCAACCATTGAAGCTAGTTATTCGATCACAAAAAGTGAATATTCTTCAATTGAATCAAAGATTCATCAGGGAGCAAGGGTTGTGCGTATATTAATACTTGATGTTGTGAATCTATTGTGTTCTCGATCACTCATTCCTTGAACTGTGAACTTCGCCCCGTTAATCTCAAATTGAGAATGAAATGTATCTACAAGATATCTGATGACGAGATTATAGATTTAGATGTTGAAATTGAGGCCAATATGAAGCAATTCAAACTCTGGTACCTGCTATATTTTTGAACGATAAGTTGTTATTTCTTTTTTCTTCAAGTAGAAAACTCGAAGTTGAAATGATTTTGTCACTTTACCGCACCAGTGCGATGATAGTTATTCAACCAACTAGTGTATTAATGGGGGCGATTACTGATCGAGATATTTTATCGTGCGAGCAAAGCGAGCGCATTAATGTTCGAGATTATTAATCGCCTTTCAATTCACAAGTTGGTTAATTTTTTTTTCTCCGTCGACTATATTTCTCATTTCTCCTGCAATGATGAAAACTTGGTTCGCGAATCCATCATTCATCCAGAAACTGCTGAGAATCACCCAGTAGCCTTGTTACTGACATTAGTGACATTTGACATTTGTCGAAATTATCAACATAGGAAATGAATTCCTTGTGTTAGATTAGGGATTGAAATCGTGTCAGAAACTTGGAAAGGCGAACCCGTTAACGGAAAATCTTCGATGAAATCCATATTTTCGATTTGAATGCAGATTCCGTAAGTTAAAGCATAAACAATGAATGCACGCGGTGTATGTTTGGTTGTTTATAAAACAATCGTGCATCAATAGACAGATTGATTATTAATAGGGGTCATTAATGAACAATTTCATTCAACATTAAACTTACTCGTTGATACGAGGTCGACGGATAATTAACGTCAAATTAACAGCACTAGTGTAGTGAAGTTTTCTATTAAGAAAATCAATTCAGTGTCTTAATGTTCCACATTACCATTACATATTGGTAGTAGGTGATTACATATTCCATTGCACCATTAAAGATAGTGGTTGAAATAACAATGGTTCAAACTAAACCATATTCACCATCAAGGCGTCGTGTTTCACAACGACACGACTGTACCAGAAATTACGGTATACCATGAACTCGAGAAAGGCTCAAGGACTGAAGACGACCTGATGAGAAATCTTTAGCTGTTCACTAATATTTTATTCCAAAATAAACATAGTCTGATGCAAAAAGGATATGTGATATATGTTTTACAGGGTATAGGTACCTTGATTTCATTACCATGAGAAAACATTATGACGAACGTTCAGTGTAACTGCGAGTCATTATAATTATTATTGGGTGTTGAAATTGACATGGCAAGTTACAAAGTAGTTTCTAAGTAGAATTCTCAGTGATCGAGTTCCTGAAAACAATGCATCCCGCAGCATAATATTCACCTATGATGGACAGTAGGTATTTGGAAAGCAAGGACAAACATTGTTCAGGGCCTATGCCTGCATTGAACGTCATTTCAACCGATCATTGTGGTTTTTTTGACATGAGTTTGTTTACTGGGTTGTCACATCAACTTTCATTTCCTTATGAAGAAAGCGAAATATAAATTTCATCTTGAATTGATGACACGGAGTAATCACTACGAGTGAATTGTGTGTTCAACATAACGATGGCCAGATTGCTCAAAGTGGAATGAAATGTTGGATGAATACATACGAATCTCAAAGTCAACTCCCATTGTTGTTCATTTCATGAACTGAAGAAAAACAACTACTTTGCTGGGTAATGCCACGCAGAATAATGATTCATGACATCCTCCTGAAATATATGCATCAATTCGTGTAAACGGATACTGATGCGAGTGTTCCTTTCCTGAATGCCTATTGATTTAGATTCAGTCAGGTAACCGCTCGACACCTACAGACTGGTTTCGAGCTTTCGGCTCTCATCAGTATAGGTTAGTTTCCAGCTAGCAGTCCAAAGACTACCGGCTAAGCGTAACCTGGCCCAATAGAAATCAGGTCAGCCAGGTCGGCACGTTATTACCTCACAGGCATTTTTAAATACAATATGGGCATAACGCCATCTGAGTAGCAAGGAAAAAACACTCAAAAACTATGATTATCACATTCCATTCACTTTCAAGACCATTTTGACATGCTCAATGATGTGAGCCCTACCCTGTGACCCGTCTTCCGAATTTGAGCTGGTTATCTTGCAAACTTTATAGAACCAAAAATAATCTTGAGATATCAACACTTAGTGATTCGGAAATGATGGAGTTCAGTGCATATTTGTTTATAGGAACTTTCATTTTTTTTTTAGAACGCACTTTCACCCCTAGAAGTGCGCCCCAAATATTACGAAACAGCGTATATGTTGAAATTATGGTTCACATAATAATATGGTCTGTGATCTGAAAAGTAGCCCATCGGGCACACATGCGTTTTTTCAACGTATTATCAACGTAGAACAAGTTAGACAAACGTTTATGGTTGAGAAATTCAACGTTGAAATATGGTTGAAGTATTAAGAGTTGAATCTAAAAGTTTTATAAACGTATTGAAAACTATATGTCTTGACGATCTGTTGAAATTATGCATTTATAAAACGTTTCTCCGGAACGTTAGTTAGACGTTCGAAATAAACGTCCCTTCAACGCGAATCTCCTGACCGACAGTGGAAAAAGAACACGAATGAAACGTTTTTCATTTGTTATTCGTCAACGTGTATTATAAGTTGTCGTAAAACTATATTTCATATCATAGTTGAACTGTTCAAGCAAAACTAACGCTTGTATCAAACGTTTGTTGAACTCTTGGCATAAAGTTGAATCTGAATGTTTCATGGACGTATTCGAAATGATATGTCCTGACGATTTGTTGACGTTAGTAAGACGTTCGAAATAAACGTTTCTTCAAAGAATCTGTCATCATTTTCTGACCGGGAGTGGAAGAAGAGCGCGAATAAAACAGTTTTCAACAACGTTTCTCATCTGTTACTTGTCAACGTGTGATTCAAGTTATCGTTGAACCATATTCTATATAATAGTTGAACTGTTCAAGGAAAACTAACGGTTGTACCAAACGTTTGTTGAACTCTTGTAATGAAGTTGAATCTGAACGTTCC